TCAAGGTTCAGCCACGTTGCACGCGCCAGTCCTTCATTTCTTTTCATAGCTGAGTGCTATCCCATGGGAGGGACAGACCGCTTTGTATCCATTCATTATTTGAGGAACATGTCAGTTGTTTTTACTTTTTTGTATCATGAATAATGCTGCTAAAAATACTCATGTACAAGTTCTTGTGTGGACCCATGTTTTCAATTATGAGAATTGCTGGGTCATACGATAGCTCTATGCTTTTCTTGAGAAACTGCCAGAATGTTCTCTGAAGTGACTATCATTTTACATTTCCTCCAGCCAATGTATCAGGGTTCAAATTTCTCCACATCCTCACCGACCCTTGTTATTATGTTTCTTATTCTAGCCACCCTGCTAGTGGTGAAACAAGTTCTCCTTGTGCTTTTGACTTGCATTTTCCTAAAGACCAATGATGTCGAGCACCTTTCTATGCTTATTGACATTTGTAGATGTTCTTTGAACAAATCTCTGTTCAATTCTTTCCCCCTTTTTGAGTTGTGATTTTATTGAGTTCTTCATATATTTTCGATACTAGACCCTTATCAAATATATGTGCAAGTATTTTCTCCAACTTTGTGATTATCTCAGAAATAAGCCCATACATTTACTTACGGTCAATCGTTTCTTTCAACAAGGGGAAAGATTATTCTTTCCCCCCGCTGAACTATCTGGGTGCAGCCCCCTTAGCTCGTGGTGAGTAGGAGGGTGAAGACAAATTTTGTAGCAACATGTAAAACACATAGTTGACATGCCTGCGATCAGGGGCCTGCAGGACTGGGCCAGCCCCCACCGTGCCTAAGGAAGAGCCGTCTCTGGGCCTCCGCGCCAGCGTGTAACCGACAGAAACGCAATTTCCTGCAGGTCCAGCCTCACAACCGGGCCACTCCATCAGTCACTGCCTTGAATTCTGAGTCACTCAAGTTGGATCCCACTGAAATAAGACATAGAACTAGGCATATGATGGGTTCTTAATGAAAAAATAGTCAGCCGCCGACTCATCTGCAGTCGGCTTTCCTGCGAGTCGTCACCGGCTCGGTCCACCAGCAAAAACAGAAACCCCGCCAGGGCCTCGGCCTTCAGCTCTCACAGGCGTCGGGGACCCCTGCAGCCCTCTCCCCTCCAGGCGCAGGCTTTGAGATGGACTCTGCTTGAACGGTGTGTCCGCTGTCCGGGCTCGCGGCCCTCCCGGCTCGGCTCGGGGCTGGGCTGGCTCCCTCCTGTCCCCCTGCCCTGGCGGCTCCGGTCCTGCTGGCCAGGCAGGGGCCCCGCCTGGAGGT